CCAGGCGGGTCTCGAACCCACGGGCTCGGGCAATCCACTCACCTCGGCCTCCCAAAGTGCAGGACGACAGGCTGAGCTACCGAGCCCGGCCTTTTTTTGCTTTTGTAATAACTTTATTTTACTGTAGATACGTGAGGTGCAAGTCAGGACCAGGTAGGTGAGTAGCTCACGTGCAGGGGAAGTTTGGGCCTCCAACTGGTCCTCCACTTCCCCGGCTGAGGACCAGGTACCTTTTGTGTTGCTATGAGCTCCCCCCCGCCCCCGGCAGTGTTCTGTGCCTGCGGAGTCCTCCCTGTGAGTTAAGAGCATGATTTTGCTTTCAACTGGATGACAGCCTTAAAAAACAAACGAACAAAAAACCAAACACTTTGGCAACGAAAATTTGTAATCTGAAAGACGTCTCCACAGAACAGACTTTGGTTTGGGTCAGTAGGATTGGAAGATGGAAAAGGGGTTCCCTGTCGCCAAATCTGAGGAACAACAGGCTTTACCAGGCCCTTTCATTGGACAATAACATATTTTAAAAATCTCATTTTCTCTTCAAATGTATTTCAGTCTGTTTTTGCTAGGGCTTTTTATTTTTTTTTTAACTCTTCAGGTGATGCAGTTACACCTGGAGCTATAAAAGCAGGGCTGTCTAGCTGGGTGGCTGCGAAGGCGGCCTTCCACAGGTGAGGATTCACGTGGCTGTGGGGCCGCGCTGCTGATCGTTCCTAGAAGGAGCACAGGGCTCTGGGATCCAGGCCAGCCAGGCGATGGAGATGCCAAGCACCACACGTGTCGGGACAAGCCCTTGGCGGTCACGGGAGAGGCTGAAGCTTCTAGTGGCAGAGGGCAGTATGAACACAGGGCTGCAGACATCGCACAGGCCACAAGAGAGACACATGTACGTGAGGCCAGGGATGACCTCAAAAGAGGTGTTCTCCTGAATCCTGACCCAAAATCCAGGAGGAAACAACAGCTGACAAGGCAGAAGTCGCTATGTGATGTTGGATGACTTTCCAGAAAGCCCCTGGAACAACAGTGGTATTTTAAGATGCTGTTTGCAAGTGCAGTCTCAGCTTGACCCATGAGGCATGGATTTGACAGTGTGCGACCCTAGACTTGGATGAATCAAACAGAAAGACCCCACAGAGGAGGATGAGACAGGGTCTTGGAGCACTGGAGATACTGTTCTTTAGAAAGATTTAAACATTTTCCTCTAAATTGTCATCTTTTGTTTTTTGTTTTTTGAGTCAGAGTCTCACTCTGCCGCCCAGACTGGAGTGCCGTGGTCGCTCCCGGCCACCGCAGCCTCGACCTGCTGGGCTCCGGCGATCCTTCCGCCTCCGCCTTCCAAGTAGCCGGAACTACAGGCGCACGCTACCACGCCCGGCTGATTTTTGATTTATTGTAGACATGAGGTCTCGCTGCCCAGGGGGTCTCGAACCCACAGGCTCAGGCAATCCACTCACCTCAGCCTCCCAAAGGCGCGGGAGGACAGGCTGGGCCACCGAGACCGGTTAGATCATCGTCTTTTCACATAAATATTGCACGCGCCGGCGCTTTCACCGTTTCGCCCAGGTCCCTCCCTCTCTCGCACCCGAGTTTTGGTGCATCTGGGTGCCTGGGAGAGGTGAGGAGAGGGAGGCCCAAGACCCTGTGTCCCGGGACTGCTGAGGCCGGAAGAGCCAGGCCCTGCCTGCCAGCTCCACCTCCGGTAACACGGCTGGAAGAGCCACGAGGTGCACGCTTTATTGGTTTGATAGTTTTATTCTTATAGGGGGAAGAAAAGCTAAATTCCCTAAACAACAGTCATGGGAAGCCCCCGGGGATCCACAGCGAGCCTGTAACAAAGCCACTGCCATGGTGAAAGCACCCGCGGGGGGGGGGGGGGGGGCGCGGTGTAAGAGAGCCAACTCTGTTATGTGCTGGAAAGGAAACCTGCAAATTCATGGTGACTGTCACTGCTTTTACAGGGACAGAAAAAAAAGCCACTTGACTTTTTTTTTTTAAGACTTTTTATTTTCAGGCCCTTTTAGAGGAATCAATTCCTTGAAACAAAGCTTTGTAAGATGCCACAGGGGCCAAGGGGGTTGGGCGAGCTCTTAGTCTAGGAACTGACACTCTTCAGGGTGAGTTTCCTACAGAGATTATCTGGCAATTTCCAAGAGGCAGTTCTACCCAAGGAGCCTTGGACAAAGCCAATCCTGTTTTCCGGTCTTTTGCTTTCACATAGGTGTCGAGCTCTTACCTTTCTCCATTTAATACAAATTGAAACCCACCTACAAGAATGAAAAAGCAGGGGCCGGCTTCTGCAGAAGTGAATCTTGACTTAGGTCCACACAGCCTCAGACTCCACCCATTCAGGACAGACAACGGGAAAGCCCAGCGCTTTCTGGGAGCTGCTTCCTGGGCCGCATGTGCGGCTGTTCACACTGCCCTGCAGTTGCCCGGAGAGTAGGAAACACAGGCAATGCAAAATGTGACTTACAGACTCCTTGTCACGGCCGATCTTTTGATGGCTGTGGAGAGGCTCACACACACACACATCCACACCCACACCCGCAATTCCTCTTCCTCCGTCACATGGCTGCTTCAAAACATCAGCACTGCAACCAGAATTCTCTCTATAAACAAAGGCTCATTTTCTTAACATCTGCACTAGTGTGCATGTAGTTAAGGGCCAGAGAGTGGAGTCTGACAGTTTCCACACATCCGATCATGCATTATGTCTCTGCAGCATGTAAACAACCTACTCCTAAGTTTGCTCCTCAAATGACAATCATGGTTTTATTCCATGAGTTATGCTGCCCAAATGAGCTGATTCCTTAGCTTTTGTCACTGTGTCTGAGTCAAAATAGGTCACTTGCAGGCCTCATGCAGAATTTAGAAACTGGATAAGTGGTTTAAGCCTAAACACTGCAGTGATTTCTAGGGTACACGCAGGAGAGGGCGGCTTGGTCTGCAGAAGGTCCAGCCTGGCCTTGAGGGCACTTCCCAGTTTCTGCAGCTGCGGGACGAGGGTGAAGCCCCTTGCCAGGGAGACGTCAAGTCCATTTGCTCTGCTCAGCCTCTCTGCTGAGTCGTCAAGAGATCCTGACGTTCCATCTTCTGCCAGGGAGGATTTACATACATGAAGGTGGACTGGTGTGGCCATTATTTCAGCATCTTCACCATGTACGGGCCTTGCAACCTGTAGCCAATCTTTCTGTAATAATTCCTGGTGCCGACTCCTGCAGAAAACCAAAGTCAGAAAAGAATGTCCAGTCAGCAGAAGTTTAGCAATCCTCAATCAGCAAGTGCTTCCTCAGCCTCACCCTCTCCCACTCTCCTCACAGACCAGATTCTCTTCCAGACAGAATCTCAGTTGAATACGTTTGGAACATTTTTGTGACTTGGAATTCAAATATAGAAACTGCTGCGTGGAGAGAAGCAATTCTCTCTCCTTGATTTCGAATAGAAGCTCCTGGTGTGTGACACACGTATTCGTGGGCAATAGCATCTGGGCACAGTCCTGCTTCCAGGCCTGTGTTTTTACAACCCCACTGGCCCCATGAAGCATGACTTTGGGACCACAGGTGAGTGAGGACCTAACATGTGAGCCGCCCGTATTCCAGCGAGGCTGGACGACAGGATGGCTTCCCAGAAGTCTGAGAGAAGGGGTGGGAGAAAATGGGATTTCCACACAGCCCCAGGGGTAAGGGTATGTGGAACTAAACACAGCTGCTGGTGGAAGTGTTGACAGCACTTGAGGGCTAGTAGGAAAAACAGTTTTTTCCTCATTAGTTGGTGTCAGAACACGGCTTTGCTGGAATGGTTCTGGCTCATGGAAATGTGTGGTCTGCGGAGAGAAGGCGTGGGTTTCCACACCACACAATTCACTTCTCTGTGGCCACCAACTGGGTGTCTGATAATTTAACTCAATTCTGACTTTGTCTGCCTGGAGTCAGTGCAGACCCCAAAGGTTCTGAGCTTGGTCCACACTTCAGACACCAATTGCAAGATGTGGGTCCGGAGCTGGTCATCAGAAAGACTTCTGTCCGACTTGGCTACAGTTCGGGGTTTCTACATCCCTTTCCTCAGGTTCGAGAATTTGCCATAATGGCTCACAGAACTCAGGGAAGCATGTATTTGTTTACTGGTTTATTAAAGGATATGATTCAAGATACCGATGAGCAGCCGGATGAAGGGGCACACAAAGGATGGGGGCCAGGAGGGCCCCAAGTGTGGGAGCCTCTGTCCTCACGGAGCTAGGGTGCATCATTCTCTGGCACATGGGTGCGTCACCAACCTAGAAACTCCCCAAGCCTCATCTTTCAGGGGCTTTTATGAAGGTTTTGCCAAGTAGGCATGGGGGTTAACTCAGTAACCAGTTCCTTTCCTCTTCCCAGAGGATGGGGGTGGCACTGAAAGCTCCACGCTTCTAACTGTGGCTTGGACCTTCTGGGGACCAGCTCCCACCCAGGAGCCCATCTCACGTGAACAAAAGATGCTCCTAGAGCCCTTATAGCTCGTGCAATTGCAAGGGTCTTAGGAGCCCTGTCAGGAATCAGGGGCAGAGCCCAAATACAATTTCTTACGTTTCAACGTTTAAGGAACGTTAACCGATTTAAATAGGTATGAAATGCTCATCATCTGCCCCACTTTGGAAGCTTTCCTCTAAGAACCTGGGCTGTCTGTTCTTAGAGCGACACTTTTGAAAACTGGCGATGGGGCCGGGCTCGCTGGCTCAGCCTGTAATCCCAGCACTTTGGGAGGCTGAGGCGAGTGGATTGCCTGAGCCCGTGGGCTCGAGACCCACTTGGGCAACTTGGAGAGACCATGTCTCTACAATAAATAAAAAATTAGCCGGATGTGATAGCATGCGCCTGTAGTTCTGGCTACTTGGAAGGCTGAGGTGGAAGGATGGCCGGAGCCCAGCAAGTCGAGGCTGCGGTGGCCAGGAGCAAGCTTCTGCACTCCACTCTGGGCGACAGAGTGAGACTCCAATTCAAAAAAAATAAAAATAAAAGAACACTGGCGATGGAAGCACCAGCACCACCTGCCAAGTCACTCCCTCCCTCCCTGCCACAGTCCTTCACTTGGCTTGGGGAAGTGCACCTTAATCCCCTCCACCTCACTGGCTGCCGCTCTCCATCTGTGGTCCCTCCTCGCGTCTCCAACTCCAGTCGCTGCGATACCTACTCTTCTCTACCTGAATGCCTAGATGGGCAGGACAAACGCCTGCTGCCCACTCTACCCTGCTTCCCCAAGACCCTCCATCTCTGGGAACGGCAACCCCACTACCAGCTGCTCAGGCCAAAACCTTGAAGTCACTGCTGACTGCCCTCTTTCCATCAAATCCCAAAACAGAGACCTGAAGAAAACGAAAGAGCAAGGCCTAAGGATATCTGGGGAACAGGTTTTCCAGGGCGGCAGGAAAAACACACACAGAAGCCCTGATGGGCGGTGCCGGCCTAATCCAAGAATAGCAGAGAGGCTCCACGACGCAGGGTCTTGCAAGGGTCTGGCTTCTTCTTGAGCGAGATGGGAAGAACCAGAGGATTCTGATCACACTTCCACGACCCGACTGCTGCTGTGAGAAGAGTGAAAGTGCCAGGAGGGCAGGGATTTTTACGTTTCATTCTCTGCAGAGTTGCAAGTACCGGGAGCAGTGCCTGCTACACGCTAGGCGCTCAACAAACATTTGATCAGAGTGAACATGTGATCAAGGGCAGAAACAGGGAGACCAGTCCCGAGGCTACTACCATAATCCAGGGGAGAGACGGTGGTGGCTCAGGGCTGAGTTATACTGGTGAAAAGGACCTGGGACCAGGGCACAGAAGCAAGGTGGAGCCAACAGAATCTGTCGATGGATGTGAAAGGAAGAGAGGGTCCAAGATGACCCTAAAGCGTTTAGGAAGAGTTTGAAGACAAGAGGGGCATCTGCCGAGATGAGAAGGCTGTGGGAGGAAGAGATGCAGGGGAAGCCGGAGCCGGGTTTGGCGAGGCTGCGTGTGAAATGGCAGCTGAACATCTGAGTGGAGATGCTGAGCATGATGTGATTCTGGAAGGCTTTCTTCTTCTTCTAAAGATGTGGGGTACAATGCAGGGTTAGGTATACAAACATTGCTCACGCAGGTATGGGAGCCTTTCTTGCTCTTAAAAGAGACAGGCCGTGCCAGGGGTTGAATACCTGTCCCTTCTGAGATTCCTGCTGAAACTTAATCCCCAAAGTGCCAGTATGGAGACACAGGCCCCTGAAGAGGTGCCTGAGTCATGAGGGCTCTGCCTTAGGGTCGGATTCGTCTACTCATGGATGAGCGGGGTAAGGGTTCTGACGGCTTGGTAAGAAGAGAGACCTGGGCTGGCACAGTCAGCACCTGCCGTGTGGCACGGGTGATGCGCTCTGGCGTCTTGGGGCTTGGTGGAGGGGCCCCACTGGCAGGTAGGGGGGCCCTTCAACCTTGGACTTCGCAGTCTGGAAGGAATCCATTTCTTTCTTTATGAGTTGCCCAGTTTCTGGTATCCTGTTATAAGCAACTGAAAATGGACTCAGACAGGGTCTTTCTCTGAGAGGCTGTTTTGGGAAGTCGTTTCTGACGAGGCCTGCCAGGGGATACGTGGCCGTGTGGACATGCAGCATGAGAAGATGAAGCCACATGGCTCCTTTTTGATACCAGTGAGCCTTGAACTAATCAGTCCCAAAGCTGCTCTACCTACAGCTCTGTTATGAAGTAATATATTTCTCATTTGGCTTCTGTGATTTGGGGGGTACTTTTTATTGTGGCAAAATACACACAACACTTACCATCTTACCCATTTTTAAGCGCACAGCTCAGTATCACCAGACACACTCACACTGTCGTACAACCCTCACCACCATCCAGCTCCAGGACTCTCTTCGTCTTGTCAACCAACGGAAACTCCACGCCCATCAATACTAACTCCCACCCCCTCCCCAGCCCTTGACACCCCCATTCCATTTTCTGCCTCTATGAGTCTGATTCCTCTAGGAAATAGAATCACAGAGTCCTTGCGTCTGGCTTATTTCACTTAGCATAATGTCCTCGAGGTTCACCCATGTTGGATTTAAGCTATTCTAAGTGGAGTTTTCTGTTACTTGTAAGTGAAAACAGCATAACTGACAAGTAAGCTTGGGGACAGGAAGAGACAAACACATGAGATCAAGTCACCATCTCAAATCAGAATTCAGAGTGAGAATTCTGGTCACACTGCTCTCCTGCTTAGAATCACTAATGGTATGTTCCAGGTTAAGGCCCCAATTCCCCAGGCTGATAGACAAAGTCTTTCCTGCCACGAGTGACCTGGCTACTTTATAGTCCAGGCTCACCAGGCCACCCTGCGGCCTCCCGGTGATGCCCTCGCTCTGAGACACTCCCACTCACCCTCCTGCTCCCCCTCAAGGCCCGACACAGCCAGGCTACCACCAGGGGACCTCTGCAGACACTTCCCCATCCACAAAGAAGCGGGATCCCCCTCCCTCCATGCTGGCTGTGTACCCTAACTAGAGTTCTATTGTTCTAGTAAACACACCATGCTTTATTGTGCTTGTGTATCTGTCTCTTCTGCTATAACGTAAGCTCTTTTAAGCTCTCTAAAGTCAATGGCTTCTACCATCAGGGCTTATTACGGCGTCTGGCATATTATCAGGATGCAATAAATATTTGCAGATCTGTTACACCCTATTCAGCTATCTTTATGTTGTGTGCATATAGGGAAATGGGCTCTTGGAGGATTTTTTTTTTTTAATGGCTCTATGTGAGGTGTTGGGTAGTGAGAATGATTCAGCATAAAAGAGAAGATCTTAACTTAGTTACAAATCTCGGGCAGCTTTCTGATTTACGTATTATCTCTATCTAATAGAAACTGCCCCCAAATCTTTCAGAGACATTTCTGGCTTTTTCTATTTCTCTTCCACTTTTATAAAACACACACTGTTTTCCATGGACTGAAATTTATCCTGGAGAAGGTTAGACACACAAAAGTGGAGCTGACAGTGCACTCAACCTCCCTATGCCCATGGCCCAGCTTCAACAAGGACTGACCAACTTCCACAGCTTCGAGTTCTCTACTCATGGGAAGTGACAAAACACCTCTAATGTCCCCTTTTGGTTCTGCTCAGCACAGTCCCTGGAGACACGTTTATTTCTGCTCACTTACACGCCTCTGTCAAATAATGGTGATGGCTTAATGTTCGAACTGAAGGTGCACAGCTGTTGGTAGATGTTGT